TTACTCACGATTTTGACACCAGACAAAAATTATGTATGGTCATTTATTAAAAAACTTGTCAAATCAGAAGTTGCAAAAAAGACAATGAAATTCTTAAAATATACGAGTTACTCTATTGAAATCCATCAAAATCTCGAGATATGTTTTGCCATTTTTTTTCTTAGTTAAAATTTTATATTGTAACAATGTTCACTTAAATTGTTGAAAACTGGCATGAAATCAGCGTATTTGTAACAAACACAAAAGAAAATACACGTACCTTCTTAAACACTTTCCATTATTACGAAATTCTAAGCTTAGTTCAAAATAAATATGAAAGTCGAACAACAAAGTATTTACATTCAGTTTTTAATAAATCAAATATGGCAAATTGTTTTTTATCACATCATATGCTCTATACTTAATCTACTAATACGTCATTTCACTTCTTCACGAAAAATTCATAAAAATAATTATTATATGTATTGTTATTGCATAATTGTATTATGCATAAACAATTTTGATACATCATTGTTGATAACAATTCTCATCTTGAAATACATTTTTTGTAAAGGTAATACATTTCTTATAGCAATATATTAAAGTACTGAATTTTGCTCCAAAATTCCGCACTGTGCGACGCACAAGTTTCATGAATTTTCTTTTAATATAAATAATCAAATAGATTTGGGAAAATTCCTCCTACGTATACTACTCGAGCATTACGTTTCTGAATTTTTTCATCAAATTCCATGTGCTAGTTTCGGAGAAAAAAAAAATGGCAAAAATGCAGAAAATTCGTGTCCCAATGGGAGAATTTGCAAATTTTTGAAATTTAAAAGTTTTCAAATCTTATTAAAAAAATTCTCACACGTTCTACTTTTATAGTAATGCACATCTGGAAATTTTCAGAATTTTCTCTACGTTAGATTTCGAGATAAAAATTATTGATAGTCGTTCTTCCAAATCTTGACACGTTTCTCTACTTAGGTAACACTCAACGCTGGCTACTTTGCAGTTTTCGAGGGCATTAATAATCGAGTGGAAACGTGACGCCCCGTCAAAGTTTGATTAATATTTCTCCAACTAAACTAGATAAACAAAGTATCGTTGTCGTCAGTCAGGAATTACGTATTCCACTATTTAACAAACGACGACAGTTTATCGTAGTCCCACTGTATATTACTCGCGCATGGTTAAACAACCTTCAAGAACATCTTGTCATTATAGTATGATGAAAACTGACTTCGAACCAAACATCAGCCAATTAAAAAAAATTAAAAACGAGATATACTGCTGATAAATTCGATAATAACGGACTGATCTGCTACTTTCAAGGTTCAAATTCAAGCCATACACTCTCTACTTTAATTCAGACTCTCCGACAATTTTTCCCAAATCGATTCTTAAAAGGAAGAAGGAATTCAGACTGCCTTTCAAGTAACTATGTGACACATGTATGTCGATAAAATTATAAGAGTATAGCTACAAATGGACAAGAGTAAGAAAAACCAAAGTGTATATAAATATTTTATTCTACACGCAATTAAACACTGGAAACAAACGATTATTTAATTTCTCTGTCTCTAAAATAGGCCAGTGTATTCGGCGAGTCTGCCGAACACTGCGAGAGAGATTTATCGAGCTTTTTACCGACTAAAATGAAAAGGAAACGATTCTGACGAGCTTATCGTCGCTAGCGGTGGGGAAAATCCTGATCGAGCACACGTATCACTCAAGTGGGGGGATTCCGGCCGTGGCACGCCGACGTTTACAGTTATAGCAGGCATCGTAGCATATTCAGTCCGGATCGGGCTTTCGGTCGTCCGAGATCGAGAGACTCGCGTTTCCCTCGATTTTACTCGGTGTAATTAAAAATCGGCGCGTTCTACGTGGAACGAAACGTGGAATCTTCGACTGTCGACGTGGGGAAACCTGTGCGTTTCAGGGAACGATGAAGTGAGAGGAAAGTAGTCGACGGTAGAATCTACGAAAATCGGGGACACGATTAACGGTATCGGCCGTGTGCCCCCGGTGTCCGAAAGATATGCGGGCCCCCCCGTACATTCCCAGCCATAAGTGACGAGCCAGAGTAACGTGTTCGGATTTAAAGAAAACTGTCCGAAGTTCGTTTATTCACTTCGGTAGAATTCGTTTGGGACCCGCGTAAACGGCGTCTGTGTAAGAATCGCGTTTCGCAATCGTCGCTTGAGAGGGAGTGTACGTGTACACGTGTCATCTAACGCGTCGCGTCACGACCGTCTCCGTTCGCTCTGAATGAACGTCTGTTTGTTACCGAGGAGATGTCGTCTAATTAGAAACGAGACGATTCTTTTTGTTGTCTTTCCTCGTTAGATAGTCAAACGGGGAATCCGTGCCGGCTGGGGAATTCCCGGGTCGATTAAGTCGACGACCTCGATGAAACTTGCCGATTCCTCTAGGCATCGATTGGCGATTCTTTAAAAAAAAAAAAAATACCGAGGACTGTAAAAATCGACTTGAGAAAAAAAGACCGCCTTCTACTTGAGAAAGAAGTGGATAAGGAGCATCGGTCTGGCCGACGAATGGGAGAGAGCGCGGAGAGATCTCGTTGGTAGCGTGGAGGAGAGCGCGATCGAGCCTTCGGGTGTTCGGGGGAAGTGAAAGGAAGTAAAAGTGTTGTCTGTTGTACCCGGTTGAAAAGAAAGCGATCGAGTAAGTAAGGTAGTGGAAAGCGGAGAACGGGATCGTTCGAATCCGGATATATCGATTCGAACGATTAAACTGTGTTTAAAACTGTGTTAAAAACTCGAATGGCCAGGCGAATGTTAATTAGAAAGTGAGGAGTAATACGTGTACCACGGATTTTGTACAACGTCCGATGGACCACGGGAGGTAATTAACCTGGACCCCCACGTCTCCGTCGTTAGAGGTAATCCTTATTTTCGAAATAATGAATTTTAACCAGTCCTTTAATTATTCGAGTGGAATTTGTGCATATTTTGTCCATCTATGCGATACAAGTAGACTTACAACTGTTTAGGACGAATGTGCCTCGAAAGGGTGCCTACTTCCCCACATATTCCTCAGAATTCTTTTTTTCCGGGTAGATTGTCGTGCTGTTTCCGTCGAAATACTTCTTGACTTTACTGCTTAACAAACCGGTTAAGATATCCTAATGAAACTTGAGACAGGAATCTTCTGATAGTTCCTTGTAAAATTCATTCAATTCTCTTCACTAGGATCAAAGTTATTACAATTTTAATTCCAGAGTTCCAATTCAAAAACTGAACACCTGTTGTATTATCTGGTCCAAAGATGGATTAAATTCACGAGGTCCGGGACTAAAATGAATATGGGTCCCACTTAAGGGCAAGAAAAAATGTGAAAATTTTGTGAATGTAAATGAAAACTATGTTTTTATCCGAGCTCGCTGGGCCCTTTGAATGTTGGGGCCTGGGGCTATAGATCTTGCTAGCCCTTCGTTTTATCTAGTCTTCTAATCGTTATTAACGAACCGGTTAAGGTGTCTTAATGAAACTTGAAAGACACTTAAATAGACTCTTTCTGAATAGGTCTCAGATTTCGGTTGATTTCTCTCAATAGAAGCAACGTTAACTTGAATGGATTACAGTAGAGTTTCTCAGTCTTCTACAGACATAATTTTTGTTTAATTCATCGGGCCTACCGATACGTCTTCGATAAGTGTAGTAGAAGGTCATCGGTTCGCTCGGTAATTACTATCCCTATCAATATTACTACCGCGAAACCGTTCTGCGCCTCTCGACAAGATTTCATCCACCATCAGACTGGCAGAGGGTTCGTGAATCTTGTTATTGGACAGAAAGCTTGCGATGCATTTTAAGATCGTGATGTGCGCTCTAGGTGCAACGTACGATGGTTGGCAAGAATTTCAGAAACCCGAGAGCACTGGGATGTATGTACTTTCTCTCTCGACGTTTTCCTCCGGAGAAAACGCGGCGACCATTCTATAGTATGCTTGTGGAATACGATCGTTCATATCTTTTTTTCAAAATCTACCGCATAGAAAATTCTGAAAAGTTTGGCAAATACATTACTATAGGAGTAGAACATGTGAGAATTTTTTCGATAAGATTTGCAAACTGTCAAATTTTCCCAAGCGTTGAAAGGGGAACCTATTGGGATACGAATATTCGGCACTTTTGCCATAAAACCCCCTCCCCCTCGAAATGAGCGTACGGAAGTTGATTGAAAAATTTAAAGATGTACTCATATCTGAGTGGAACGCATGTAAATTTTTGCAAATTTTTTCATCCATTATTTATTTAAAAAAAAAAATTCATGAAATTCGCGAATTCTGAGGTTCTGCCAGATCTGACGGGATATCCCTGGAAAGATTCTCGATATCCTTGAAGTTTAATTTCTCCGATTCCAGCAGATGGACATTGATGAAAGTATTCAGTGATCTGCTAGTTTGCCTGCGTGTCAGAATAATTTCAACTCATTCGTTGATTAATTAACATATAAATGATAAATAACGTAAATGGACAAAATGTTCAAATCTCGGAACAATAAATCCTCTAGTAGAAAAATGAATAGTTTATCGATCGGTAGACCGGAGATTTGATGTATGTACATAAACTCTAATCTAATCTAATCTAATCGAATTGTTTTGTATCATTTAACGGGAGGAAGAAAGAGGTGTTACGATTCGTTGGGAATTGCAGGGTCCGAGGTTGGATAATGCGAAGTCTGGAGAGGTCATCGGGTGGTAGCGACCAGGACTGTGACCGGGAGATGTACATCGATCTGGACGACGCGTCCGTCGACTCTCTCACCGGCAAACGCACTCGCCATCATGTACCCGAGGTAATCAAATTTCATCCCGAAATTTTTTTCTTTCGATCGGAGACGGATTAATAAAAATATTCAGAGATCCACTGCTACATGCGTGGTACGTGTGAGAATTTCTTCAAATTTTTCCATCCTTTCTTTACATCAAATAAAAATTCATGAAGTTTCTTAATTCTGAAATAATGAATATCATTCAGAGGCGTGTTCTTATATTTTTTTATCTTTATATTGCAAATTAAAATAGGAACAAATTGCCAAATTATGGATACCAGCGTCCTAGTCTTTTCTTCTCATAACTCTCTTCCATCCATTGATAAATGAATCTGTTAGTTGAAAATCGTTGTTACAAAAATAATTCTGTGGTACCAAAGCGGTACCATTGATTCTTCCTATCTCTCCTGCCATTCTTTTTGTTCGATGATAAAAATAATACATCTGTTAATTAAAAATCTATAATAATTCTGCTTGCATTCTCTTATCTGTCGGATCGACCGATAACGATTATTATCACGTGGCGAGGGGGCGGGTAGGCGACGCGGTGCCGATTCGATTAATTAATTATGATAAGTAATTTGATAACGATTTGACGATCGTACACAAATCTGATACCGGTGTTGAAAAACGTCTGCGAAGATGGCCGAGGAGAGCGACAGCAGCGGAAGCGAGAGGAGTCCGAAACAGGCGAAGAGACGGAACCGAGGTCCGCCGACGACGACCACGACGACTACCAGGAGACGAAAAACCGGGATCTCCGCTAGGGAGAGGAATCTTAGGAGGCTCGAGAGTAACGAAAGGGAGAGGATGAGGATGCACTCTCTCAATGACGCCTTCGAGGTACGTCGTAGATGTATTAGAAAACGTGATACGTTCAATAATATCACGTAACTCTAATCGTTATCGATGTAATTGTCACTTAAAATATCGAACGTCAATAACGAACTGATTTAGCTTGTTCATGGTTCAAATTAAAACTAGAAGTGTCTGATTTAATAC